TCACCTTTGATATCATGGCATGTTTTGTTGATGTAGGGTCACAGAATTATGAAGAATCTGATGACAATTTATTTGAAATAGTTTGCATCACCAAATTTCACATGCAGGTACATTCTTGGTGTTTATATTAGTCTCCCTGGAATAATGGAGAAGTAACAACCGGCAGGGTTCACTGGAAATTATTTGCCAACACTATTCGACCTAGAATTATTGGACCCCAATGAGATTAATTAAAACATAAAGTGCCTTTTTGTTTGGAGCCAGTCGCGCGTTATGTTTCACACCATTGATTTTTTATCGTAAGAGTATGTTTCTGTGTGTGTGTAGTTTCTCAGAGGAAGGAGGCACATCCAGCGTACCATGAAAACAAACATTGCTTGTTGTTTACCTTGAAGTCTTGCAGTCTAATGTCTCACAACTTTGAAAAACACCCCAAATATTTCACAAATGCAAATGAGCGCTTGATAATATTTGGTATGCCTTTGGTTATTAAGAAAATGCCTTTGATCATTCAGGCCTTAAACATCTATTTATTTAATGTTATAGTAAGGCAGTATTCAGAGCTCTCAGCCCGATGGCTGTTGATTTCCACACTCAGGGAACAAGAAAAACAACATTCTGCCAAATGTAACAGGATCTCCGGAGTTTTTGTTTCCATCATCATCTGAGCGCCGCTCATCCGCTCCAACTAATCCATCTTGACATCCACCACCAGGGTTACCTCCACCTTCAATACTTAAAACACATGACCACCCTTTTACAGCACTCTCAGTAAAGAGCCGGGGGAAAGAGCTGTGAAAATGAAGACGTTTCTTCTAATTTCACACTCTGCGCTTGATCGTTAGGCTCTTATTATGCCCCATTTGCTTCCCTCCACTGGCTGTGATGAAAGCGGGGCAAAGAGGCCATGACAGGACAAAAAGGGGCCCTCCATCAAAACACATTTTGTTTGGAGTCTTTTTTAGCCTGGATCAACCCTTCCCCCCGCATCACTGCCAACACTTTCCCCTGCAGTTTCCCCTGTCTGCATCCCTCATTAGCAGCAACCCCCACCTGTCTCCGCATTCATTTTATCAAACTGCGATTGTCCAACGCTCTGTGCTCAGGAGAAACGGACTGCCCGTTCTTGTTTAATTGGCCCGCAACCCCCCCTTCGCCCTCTGTGCTCCTCAACAAGTGGGAAGGTCAATGGCTGCTCATGACCTGGGATGGTGATGTCTGCCAGTGCGGGGCCAAAAGACAGACTTATCCTTAAACCACACCACCAACAACTCTGTAGTCTGAACACTCAGGCAGTCATTAAGCTGCACTCTGATTTGACACAAAAAACAACTTTTGACAGTCTTTTTAAAGTTCACTTACCATTGGCATTTCTCGAGTCCTTTTAATTGTCACAGAGAAAAACATTTTTTTTACTCGAAATATTTTCCCTGCATGTTTATTCAGGATTAAATTCCAACTATAACAAAATTGTTTTTTGCAGACGTCAGTTTTGCTCATTAGGAAGAAAGGCCCCGATAGAGGGATACAGATTAAAAAGTTCCTGTCATGTATTTTTTGTTAAGCCGCATTCTGTTTACTCTCGTTATTATTACTATTTTTTTTTTTTTTGGCTGCACATCAGTCTTTTCTGTTTTGCTTGGCTCTTGTGATGATTTGAGTTTGAGCTTGGGTCAAGCCGACCGTCACACTAGCTGTGATTAATTAGGACATGGGAATTAAGAACTAAAGCCGTTTTAATTAGTCAGAAAGTGTTTGATAGAACACCGGTTCGTAACAAGAGGGGTGACTTTCTTCTCCCAACCCGTCAAAATCTGTCAAAATCCTCACTAAGTGGGCACTAATTTGAGAAATTATATCAGCTGTGAAGTGAAGAGTGAAGGGGGGAGGTAGTGTCGTAGGAGCAGTAGACGGTGCAGCTGATGTGAAACAGCTCTTGGGGGTTGAGAGCAGGGTTCTTCCTTAGCTGAGATGCAGAGGTCAAGGTCACGACCTGAGTGGCGGTTGGAGCGCATGGTGTTTAAAGCTAGTTTGATCCATGGCCAAGGGGCAGGAAAACCATGGAGGCTGCATCTGGAGTGTGTACACTCTGAGCGAGCACTCAAATTGGTGTGCAGTACGTGGACTTTGAAGTTGAACGGAGTACTCGTAGAACCTGGAGTGAAATTTGCCCCTTGATTGTTCTTTATATGATTACCTGTGTAATATGATTATGTCAGTTTAGTGTGACTTTGATTGTGGAAAATTCATGTCATGTTTCCTCGGTGCTCCGCCGTAGTGAAAGGAGCTTTCACTAGAATGTCAATAACCCATTACAGTATGTGCTATGAATGTGTCCTATTAAGACACAATAAAAAAGCAGGACACGCGATCACATAAACCAGAAACCTCTCTGCTCTGTTCAAGTGACTTAATGTCACGTCTCCAGTTTCTCTTAAAGCATTACAAGATGTGAATGGTTTCCTCAATGAGAGGACAGGAACGCAGAGGGTAAACATCAAAGCTCTCTGCCTCTGCAAGGCAGGGTTTATATATTTTTTCACATCCCAAGAGAAAACTACATGCAACTGTTATTTGCAGCTAGAAAATGGGATGTTAAGTGACAACTTCATACTGCAAAGCTTCCTTTGTTGGATTTACCTGTCAGAGTAAACCGTGGTGTAAAGTAGGGCTGGGTGCAATCGGGAAAATTCCCATAATTTTGACCATATAGCCTGATATAAATTTTTGAACATATCCTGACACAACGGTTTATATGATATTATGTCTTACAAATAAGCTCCCCACGAATGACACATAAGATAATGTAGGTTAGGTTTAGGAAGCGAAAACATGAGGACGATGTCCTTTAAAATAACTCAAAGTTCACTTAATTTCACATGCAATATTATCACAGTATTGTAGGGTTGACTATTGGTGCCTTTACAAAACATTTACACAATGAGATTTTTGATAATTAATCATCAGTAATGTGGAAATAATGACTAAGTGGGTAAAGGCAAATCATAGAGCAGCTAAAACAGTCTGGTAAGTTCATAAAGTTACATCACTTTACAGTAACGCAGCCTTCAAAACCAGGAAAAGACAGCACTAGGGATGTTATGATATCCAAAATCAAAGACAATATCTCGTCTCATATCATTACACCAATATAACTGTCATATGTTGGCCAGCCCTGGTGCAACGTGTCACCTAATAAATGACTAGGCTTGTCAAAAATGTTAGTTTATCAATGAATGTAGATTCTGAATATTTGAAACTAGGGGTTGGTGATATGGCCCTAAGATAAAGTCACGATATTTCAGGGTATTTTTTGCGATAACGATATTCTTGATGATATGACATATAAGTAAAAAAAAAAAAAAAAGTTTTATTAATTTAAGAAAAAAGAATTGCAACACAATCAGTGATATAATTTTATGTGTCAACAGTTTAAAATATTCAGTTAAAACAGAAATGATCTCTCATTTCTTTAGTTTGGGAACAACAACAGTAACTCAGAGTGAGATTCAGATTCTATTACAATATTAATAGTTCAACAAAATAAAATCTACCACTAATTACAAGTTTAAACAGCTCCCAAATACAAAAAAAAAAAATCCACTGGGATCAATATATATATAAATCAACAGGTGATTTCCTTCTTTTAGTAAAATCCTAAATGATTGAGTTGTTGTTTTTTTTTTGTTTTTTTTTTTTATTTTTTCCACCTGCCAGAGGAGCCGCTGAATAAGTTCCCTCTGAGCGGTAAGTCGCTAAAAGAGTCTGAGAAGTGCGGGGCTGTTCATGAAACATTCAGGACGCCACAGTTTATTCCACACTACTGAAGCTGCTCCTCTTTTTGGAACCACAGTGGAGTCCGTGATCATTTTGTTCTCCACCATGCTTGTTGTTGCCGTGGGTAACAGTGTGACATCATGCGTCAACAAGCTGAAATATCACGATATGAATTTTTCATTTGATATTAAAAATTATACCAGTAATTGAAACAGTTTCAATACTAATTTTCCCCAGTATGGATACACAAATACCACCTGGGCTTTCTTGCCCTTTCTTATTTCTAATGTGTACTACAGTCATTCTGTTCTCTGCTGCTAATCAAGAAAAGAAAACTCGTTATTGTCATGTCAAATGCTTGTTCCCTTTATCTTTTAATACATTTTTTTGATGTCATGCCCCCAGTGTCAGTTTTTCTCTGTGGTATCAATAATGGTATTTTTAGGAATGGTTTTGCATAACAATGTTTTTTTAGGTATTGTACCGAAGTATTGTGTTAAGACTACAGTTCATATACCCAGTCCTAAAAATACCCCAAAATTAGAATGTATTCATTCATCACAGAGCAGCTGTACTTGTACTGTAGATTAGAAAATGTACCTCTTGGATTTCTGATAGTTAGTTAACACATAATCCACATATAGTGAACTGTATATGTATAGTTTCTCATTAAAATAAATCAATCCCCAGGCTAATACTGTTTGGTAAAATTACTTTATTTACGTGTCTGAACAAACTGGAGTAAGGGTCAGAGGAAGTCACCGGTGAGCAGCCTTCTTTATCTACTATTACTACCTCAAGAAGTGGCAGGACATGCTGGAGAGGCTGGTTCTCATTTGTTCCTTTAGACTCGCCTGCTGCAGCCGTGTAAACTGCGTTATTGGAGATATTTTCTTTCTTTGCACCATGTAATCAGTTTAATCAAAACATTGCTTAAGCTGATGACTACCAGTAATCAAAGTATTATAAAGTATGCATGAGAACATTCTTGTTATTGCTGCAGAATAGGTATCAGCAGGGGCTTTATGACAGTTTGTATTAATGGGAAACACGCAGACCATTTACTGCTTTACAGCTGAATTGCACCTAATTGAATGAAGCGGGATAACTATTGCCTCAATTACCTTTTGTTTCCATAAAATTCTGTTTTTAAAGCAGACTGCATTTTCATAGGTAAATGTCAAAATGTTAACTCACTGTTTGTGTCTGTTCTTGGCCCACAGTGGGAGGAGGTGAGCGGGTATGATGAAAACATGAACACCATCCGGACGTACCAGGTCTGCAATGTTTTCGACAACAATCAGAACAACTGGGTACGGACAAAGTACATCCGCCGTCGTGGCGCTCAGCGGATCCACGTGGAGATGAAGTTCTCGGTGAGGGACTGCAGTAGCATTCCCAAAGTGCCAGGCTCCTGTAAAGAGACGTTTAACCTGTATTACTATGAATCTGACGCCGACACAGCCACCAGGACCTCGCCGGCCTGGATGGAGAATCCCTGGATCAAAGTCGACACCATCGCGGCAGATGAGAGCTTCTCTCAAGTGGACCTAGGGGGCAGAGTGATGAAGATCAACACTGAGGTTCGGAGCTTCGGCCCAGTGTCACGAAATGGCTTCTACCTGGCCTTCCAGGACTACGGTGGCTGCATGTCGCTCATCGCTGTGCGAGTCTTTTACCGGAAGTGCCCTCGAATCATCACCAACGGGGCGCTGTTCCAGGAGACGCTCTCAGGAGCGGAGAGCACCTCCCTGGTGGCTGCAAGAGGTGTTTGCATCCCCAATGCAGAGGAGGTGGATGTGCCCATTAAGCTGTACTGCAACGGAGATGGAGAGTGGATGGTACCCATCGGACGCTGTATGTGCAAGGCTGGGAACGAGGCTGTGGAGAACGGGACTGTTTGTCGAGGTATGTTTTGCTCTGATAATGTTTTCATTTAATCTGCTAAGCCTTATGAATCATCATAACACAGGTCACAGTCCTTACAGTGTTTATTCTCCAGTATAAGCTGTTCCTGGCGTCTATTCATTCCCATTCAGCTGATGGTATGAGCCAGAGATATAAGATAAGATTCACCTTTATGGATCTCCAGCGGGGAGATTGTGTGTACGGTCATGTGTTAAAAAAACATGATGGAAGGTATACATCCTGCGCATAGATTTATTTAGCTGAAGTCATCATATTTCCATAAAAATGATCAGCACCCATATCTATTTCTTTTCCAGCAGAAATACTCTGCTGAATGTGGCAATTCACATGATAATTCAGGCTCGGGTTTGATCTGAAAATATACTGCAGCCTTTTGATGTTGTGACTGCGAAACATGTTTGTTCCTGTAAAGGGAGGGGAGCTGCTCAGCATTGTTCGCAAATCAAAATAACACAAATTTATTTATAACATTTCTTCCTTGTTTGTAGTACAGGGTGGCTGCAGGCCATAATAAAGTCTTAAAATATCTTAAATAACCTACAAAGTTACTAATGAAATGCCTTAACTTACCCACAGCACTTGTATGTGCATAATGCCACAGACTTCTATCATATCAACATTTGTAAAGTGATGTTTATGAGCTGATATTGGGAGGTGGAGGCCACTTTTCCAGCAGCTTTTATGGTGCCAAATGTGGGTGTTTGTCAGCAACTTATTGCCGCTTTTACAGTGGCTTTTGTGCAATTGAACATGGTTGTGTTTTAGCAACTCATGGACGCTTTTCCAGTCAGGTATTTGCCGCCACACATGGGTGTTTTTTTAGCAACCTATCACTGCTTTTCCAGTGGCTAATGTACCCTTAAACATGGGTGTTTTTCAGCAACTTGTTGCCGCTTCTTCAGTGGCTTCTGTGCAATTAAACATGGTTGTGTTTTAGGAACCCATGGCCATTTTTCCAGTCAGTTTTTTGCAGCCAAATGTGGCGTTTTTTTAGCAACCCATAACTGCTTTTCCAGTGGCTAATGTACCCTTAAACATGGGTGTCTTTTAGCAACCTGTTGCTGCTTTTTGAGCAGTTATTTGCCACCAAATCAAAATAAAACCAATTTATATATTTAATTTATAACATTTCTTCCTTGTATGTAGTACAGGGTGGCTGCAGGCCATAATAAAGTCTTAAAATATCTTAAATAACCTACAAAGTTACTAATGAAAGCCCTTAAAAAGCCTCAAATTATCTTAAATTCAGACCGGATGGGTCTTAAATGACTTTTAGTCACGTCACAGCGAGCATTTCCGGTCTTGTGGCTACTGGAAACCTCATTTAAACAGTAGTGAAACACTATTTGACAGGGAAACAGACTTTAGCACAACACTTACATGTGCATAAGGCCCCAATTTCGGTCCCTTTATGCATTTAGATCACGCAATGTGTCTGCATCTTTACTGTTAGTTTGTTTTTTCTGTGCTTGTGCAAAGACAGCATCATCTGTGTCATTTTACCTTACTGTTTATTTTGAAATGACATCAGTGTGTTTACTTGGAAAGAGTTTATTTTCACTTTTGGTGTGTATTTCCAATGCAAATTTGGTTTCAAATGTAATTTAAAGTGGTATTTAAAGGGTCTTAAAAGTCTTACATTTTACGTGTTTATACAGACATACCCTAAAGTAATTACCCTCCAGTCTATTACAAGATGGCAGTCTTTTTATCTATATGTAAAGAAGTGCATTAGCTGCACTTTGAGTGTGATTGTATAAACAGGACATGTTTAGGATCTTTCTCACACATTTAAATGCTTTCTTTTTTCAGAGTAGAAATGATATAAATGTGTTTCAGCCTACAGAGAAGCACCTGTGTGCATATCTAACAGAACTCATGCTTAACAGAAATTCAAAGAAATAAGAACAGCAATCTTGAATCTGTACAATTTCCGCGCCGATCCTTTGTTGGTAGAATGCCTCCTTCCATCCACGAGGACAAAGAGGATGTTTTTCAAAATTGCCTGCATTTTCCTATCAATTGGAATCCCTCACAGGCAAATCGATTCAGCTTTTCAAAACATCAATGCGCCCAACGTTTACCTGTGCTATGCCCTATCCGCAGTCTGGCAGGTGGTATTTGGTCAACGTGCTTAGGGATCTTGATCACTCGAAACAGCACGACAGCGTGTAGCCTGCAGACTGGAGCCGTGCTGCTCCGGCTCAGCACAACAAACCACCCACCTGCGTTTTAGATCGGTGTGGCGCTGCCTCTCTTATATGCGCCTGTAATTACAACACATCCCCCAGTGTCTGTGTGCTGGGAGGGGAAACGTGATGGGTGCTGCCTCCCAAACACTGCCAGGCCCGTTCAATGACTACTAATGAGGACAGGTACCAGCTCCTCCTCGAGGAATACAGGCCAATAAGAGGCACGTGAAGACAGCTACTTTCTGCTGTAGCAAGCTACTTTGGATCCACATCCCTATTATTATACAAATCTGCTTGTTTTTTGACCTACATGTAATTCACTGCATGTGGTGGATTGGAACATCTCAGGGGCGTCCTCAGTCATGGTGTTTTTTGTGCTAAACGGGATTATACAATTAAATGCTGTCAGCTCAACGGGGAAAGTATGTTGATTCATTTACAGCCTGCACAGCTGGGCATGAGAGTTTTTGTCTGAAAGCATGCAGCATTTCACCTTTCATCTTTGACCACCCAGCTGGCAGTGTACCATTCTGCAAACCACAAACACGTTACATTTGGACGTTTCACACATATCATATCAACATTTCTAAAGTGATGTATATGAGCTGATATTGGGAGGTGGAGGGGATGATGGATGACACCTCGGCACAACCAGTGGCCATGTTTCCAGCAGCTTTTCTGCTGCCAAATTTGGGTGTTGCCACTTTTCCAGTGGCTTCTGTGCCACTGAACATGGTTGTTTTTCAGCAACCCATGGCTACTTTTCCAGTAGATTTTTGCAGCCAGTGGCATTTGTATACAAGTGTTTTTAGTGACAGGTATTTGCCGCCAAATGTGGGTGTTTTTTAGCAACCCATTGCTGCTTTTCCAGTGGTTGTTATACCCTTGAACGGAGGTGTTTTTAAGGACCCGATGCCTTTTTTCAAGAGGTTTTCATGCCACTAAACACGGTTGATTTTCAGCAGCCATTGCTGCTTTTTCCAGGGGCTTGTGTACCCTTGAATGAATGTGGGTGTCTTTTAAGGATACATTGCCACTTTTCCAGCAGCTTTTGTGCTGCCAAACGTGGGTGATATTTGGAAACTTCTTGCCACTTTTCCAGTGGCATCTGTGCTGTTCAACGTGGTTGTTTTTTAGCAACCCATGGCTGCTTTTTCAGTAGTTTTTTGCAGCCAAATGAGGGTGTTTTTAGCAACCTGTCACGGCTTTTCCAATGGCTTTTGTACCCAGGTATTTTTTAGTGACCCATTACTACTTTTTGAGTAGTTATTAGCTGCCAAACGTGGGTGATTCTTTGCAACCCATCGCTGCTTTAACAGTAGCTTGTGTACCCTTGAATGTGAGTGTATTTTCACATCCTGTTGCTGCTTTTTGAGCAGTTATTTGCTGCCAAATGTGGGTGTCTTTTAGCAACCTGTCACCACTTCTCTAGAGGTTTTTGTTCTACTGAACAAGCATGATTCTTAGCAACCCAGCCCCACTTTTCCAGTGGCTTTTGTACCCCTGAACATGGGTGTTTTTTAAGGACCAATCACCAGTTTTTCATTGCTTTTTGGTTCGCCAAATGTGGGTAATCTTTAGCAACCTGTCAATGCTTTTCCAGGGGCTTTCGTACGTGGGTGTCTTTCAGCGACAGGTTGCTGCTTTTTGAGTTGTTATTTGCCGTCAAACATGGGTGTTTTTTGGCAACCCATCGGCGCTTATCCAGAGGTTTTTGTTCTACCAAACGAGCTTGACTTTTAGCAACTTTTCCAATGGCTTTTGAAGCCTTGAATGTGGTTGTTTTCCAGCGTCCCATCTGAGGTTTCCTTGTAGTTTTTGTGCTGTCAAACATTGGTGTTTTATAGTGTTTTCTAGCTGCTTAAATGCCACCAAATGCAGCTGTTTTAAGTGACCTATCACCGCTTTTCCAGTGTCTTTTGAGCTGTTGAACATTGGTGTTTTTTAGTTACCTGTTGCCACTTTTCTAGCAGTTCTTTGTGCTGCCAAAGATGGGTATTTTAAGCCAAAATATGATCCTTTCCTAACTATAACCAAGTGCTTTTTGTGCCTACACACTAACCACGGCATTGTTAGAAATGTAGAGTTTCAACATATCTGCACTTAACATACATATGCAACATATCTGTGGTTTGCAGAAACATACAATGGCAATTGGGTTGGACTATCCTTCTGTTTATTCCTCCCTGTCTGCTGTAAACTGGCTTTGATATCAAACGTCCACCAGAAGAGAAGCCTCACTGACAGCATGCTGTCTTCATCCCCCACCCCCCCACTGCAGTATTGACAATTATAGATCTGAGCACTGCAGGGCTCACAAACAAACTTCAGTGACCCTGACAGAAGTACATATAGATGTATACAGACAGACTTTGACCGGTCTCTCAGTCACTTCCCTCATCATGTGACGCACTGAATATTAAAGCTTTATGAATGCATTATCTGAGAGTGCAGCTGTGGAATGCAGCAAAACCCTGCGCACGGAGATGGATTTTTATGGCTCCATACAATAGTTATGAGCCTCAGTACAAACAACAGAGTAGTGTGTAGGAAAATAAAACCATTACAGTTAAAAAGGATATTATTCTATGGTTCCATCTATGTTCAGAAGCCCTTTTTGATGGAAGGCTGCCACCACTTGGTCTGCTCTCTAGTCATCCTCCTAAACACTGAAAGCTGATATCAGTACTAGAAACTGTGGTCAGTCACCGCCTTTCAACTGCCAGAAGTTGGATAATGAATTGATCTATGAAAGATGCGCCTTTGCCTGCCGATATTATGGGGTAA